GGGCCACTGTTTTGTTTTGTTTGCAGGGGAGTGGGGTTTGAGACAAGGTTTTTCTGTTTAACAGTCCTGGCTGTCCTGGTACTTTGTAGACCAGGTTGGCCTCGAACTCAGAGATTCGCCTGCCTCTGCCTTCAGGTGCTGGGATTTAAAGCGTGCACTACCATACCCAGCGATGGGCCACTTTGTAATATAGGGATTCCTCTTTTTCACCAGAACTAACAAAGATCTGTACATTCCCAGAATTCCCACTCGGGCCTGGGGCCCCTCACTTGGATTTTTTTTTTTCTGGCTGCTTCAGCACTTGCCTGGAGACCCTGTCTTTCTCCTCGCTGGCACTGGAAGGGAGAACATTCCTCAGAAGGTTCAGGTTCTCCTAACGAGATGTGAACACAGGATGGCTGCAGAATTTCTGAGGCTTTGGTTAGACATCATTATGAATTTCAACCCAGTGACAGCCGGAGGTCTCAACTAAGCATAGCTCCTCTCAGAGCATGGGGCTTTGCTTAACACTGCCTCTAGGGCCCCAGGAAGTCGATTCTAGCCAGCTCTGGGCCTAATGTGTTTGAGAGCAGGTGGACACATTGCATCTAAGTCAATGTCTTACTTACTGTTCTATTGCTGTGAAGAAACACTATGATCAATGCAAATTATAGAAGAAAGAATTTAACCAGGGGCATGCTTATAGTTTTAGAGGATTAGTCCATGATTACCATGGCAGGAAGCAGACAGGTATGTTGACGGAGTAATAGCTGAGACCTTACATCTTAATCCAAAGGAAGCAGGTAAAGGAAGAGACTGGGCCTCTCATGGGGTTTTTTGAAACTTCAAAGCCTCCCTCCCCCCCCCCCCAGGGACACATCTTCTCCAACAGGGCCACACCTACTCCAACAAGACCGTACCCCCTAATTCTTCCTAAACAGTCTGACAGCTGGAAACCAGATATTCATATATATGAGCCTATGGGGGCCATTTTCATGCAGACCACCACAGTCAACAAAACTTGAGTGTGAAAGCTAAGACACATTGGCCAAATCCAACAAAGCCAGATTGAACCAGCCTCGGTTAAAGGGGGAATTTAGGGCCACAAGTGGAGCCCAATGGTAGAGCATTTGCCCAGCAAGGATACGGCCCTGGCTTTGATTCCCCAGAACCACACATGCACAGCAGGGGAGTGCTCCACAAGGAAGATTTGGAATATTCTGTTTGGATCATTCCGGTCTTTGAACCAACCAAGGTAGGCTAGACTAGGATTGGCTTCAGTGAGATCAGGTGACCACTTGGTTTTCATGAAGGTTAAAATATTATAGGACCAGAGAAGACTAAACAGTCTGTGGGCCAATGAGATGATGGCTCAGCGGGCAAGGATGCTTGCCACGAAAGCCTAGAGCCCGGAATTTAATCCCAGAATCCAGGCAAAGGTGGAAGGGGAAAACCAACTTTGTAATGTTGCCCTCTGACCTCCACATGTGTGCTGTGGCAAGTGCCTCATGAACAAGTTACTGGTGTGCAGGCTAGCAATCTTGGGTACTCAGATGGCTGAGGCAGGAGGATCATAAATACAAAGCCTGCCTGGGTTTTGGAATAAGATGAAGGTAGGCTTGGGCAACTGAGACCTTAAAACAAATTTAAGGGCTAAGGGGTAACTTATTCCTTGCATAATACTTGTAAGGCTCTGGGCTCAACCCCAGCACACACACACACACACACACACACACACACACACCCCACACCCCACAAACAGTTCTCTAAGGATGAGATAAACAACCATTGGGAGAATAGTTACTGTAGGGATGCAGGGGGATGTTCCTAGTACTAAGGCACAGATGAAGGCAACATGGAGCTGTGGCTGAGGGTGACATGAATCTGTGATCCAGGGAGGGTGTGGGAAGAACTATGAGGGCATTCACACAGTTCTGTGGGAGCCTGTGGATACATGTATGTCTCCTGAGACAGTTCAACAATTTCTGGGTCCTCTCTCCCAGCTCCCGAATACTACACAGTGGTAGATTCAAATCCCCTTTCTGTTCAGGAAGGAGGTTTACTTCTCTGAGCCTATTTTCCTATCAGTGAGATGTGACAGAAACTCCTAAGTAAAGCGAAGTACAGAGCTGGACACACAGTTGGTATTTCCCTCGGCCCACCCACTGACATTCTGCCTTCCCTTTGACCATAGATCAGCCATGTTCCAGCTTGCTTAGGACCAAGCTATTCTCCTCAGAGGAGCTCCATTATCTGGTCTGTAGAAAGATACCAGAGTTATCCAAACACCCACTCACCTGACTGAACTAAAATTGTCAATAGCCTCACCACTAGGTCTCACGCTCCTTGAAGGCAGGCCAAGGCCTGGTACCTCAGAGAGCAGGGCATATTACTAGGGAAAATCGAATATATGAACAGATAGTGATATATGAGGCCCTAGATGGAAAACTTTCATGGAAGTATCATGAGATCAGTTTACCACCACAGACTCCTAGAAGTCACTCCAGTAAGCTCAGACGTCAGTCAAGGACAGGCAGAGAAAGCAAAATAGTCCTTCTACCCGGGAACTGGAAGGAGGACACACCAAAGGAGGGAGTGGCCAATGGACCCACTTCAGCATGTTTGCTAATCCCCTGTCATACATGAGGCACCCAGGCTGTTTGAGCAGCAGGTAGGCCAGACATCCCCACCCCAGTGCCCCGCCTTGTATGTGAAAGGCAGAGTACCCTCCAAGGAACCTGGGCTGTGCACCCCTTGGCTACACGGTCTGTTTCTATAGTAAAATTTCAGTAACAGGAAGTCAACCTGAACTAGCAAGGCAATACAGAGGGGAAATTTGACTGACATGTTCCTAAAATTATCAAGGGCTAACAAGTGTCTGGCATGGCAGGATCCAGGCACGGCAGTGGTGTCAACGGGGCTCAATATTCTGCTCTATCTCTTGGGACTCTTCCGACTTCATTCACAAATGGCTAAAGAGCAACATGGCCCTGGTAGCTCAGAGCTCGGAATCTCCACAAGACACAGCAAGACTTCAGGGCCCTGTTTCCATAACTGGCTGGATTCAGGCTCCACGCCTGAGCCTTTGCCAAGTCTTATGGTCAGTGTGATAGTAGCCTGGGTCTGGTGGCAGCCTGGGGGTGGGGTGGAGAGGGGATAGCATCGTTTTCTTCCTGAGAACTGAGATGGGAAATGGAGCAAGGGTGAAATGTGACTACAGGCAGCCTTCTTCCCCCCCCCCCACCCATGTACCAGGCACAAACCTAAATTATGCCTCCTTATGATCCTTTGAGGTGAGACCATTGGTGTCCCCACTCCACAGGTGGGAAACCAGCTCAGAGGCTACAGATCTGGCCAGTGTCAGCCCCAGTAGGCGGAGCACAAGAGAGCATCAGCCTCTTTGTTAAAAGGGAGGATACAGCCTCTGAGCTAGACTGAAGGGGACAGCGGACTTAGTCGACCAACCAGACCTAGTATAGGGATGTGACCAAGAGACATCATTGCATACGACCTGGGTAACCGTCCATGTCCCTGCTCTACCCCACACCAGAGACATGTCCTCCACAGAGGCTCTTTCGTTTGTTCTTCCTCCACGCCCTACATCTGTTGTGGTGCAGCAGTGCCAGGCCCCCTGGGGTCCCCAGAAACCAGAGGCTGTCGCAATAGACTGGACCCTGAGGTTACCCTCCTGCCTCACCAAAGTTCATCACCCATAGTGAACTCATCACATGGTTGGGTTGTGCACTGTGTCCCCTTTGGTCACCTTCTGGGAGGCCATTCATGCCCTGGGCTTCTAATGGGGTCGGACTCAGGAAAAACAGCAGGTCACCTTCAATTATGAGAGTCTGGGGGTATCCCCCAGGATCCTCGGCCACACTAAAACAGCCAAGGACCTGGCGGATAGATGGAACTGAGGGGTTCAGAGGCAACAGGTAGGATATATGTTACACACCTGTGCCTCAGTTTCCCTCACAGTCCTCCCTCCAGAGCTGGAACATGCCCACGTGGGATGTGGAACAAAGCAGACTGGCCGTGGGCTTGCCATGGTCTCTTGTGTGTGACATCATAGGGCAGCGTCACTAACCAGGACTCTCGGGGGTCCGGCTAGCTCAAGTGAAGACAAACTGGCTCCCAAAACTGAAAGGTCAGCGGGGCCTGGTGGTGAATTCTTTAATAGTAGCACTCAGGAGGCAGAGGTAGCAGGATCTCTGTGAGTTCAAAGCCAGCCTAGTCTATGTAGTGAGTTCCAGACCCACCAGAGCTACATAGTGAGACCTTGTCACAAACAAACAACCCTGAAAGTCTTTACTTTTGGCACCGTTGGACACAAGGATCTCACAGAAGGTTCTCCAGCGAGTTCACAGGTAGGGGACACAGCCTCCTTAACTCCCAGGGATTAGTTAGGCAGAGACCAGAAGAGTGGTGGCTGTGGCAGCTAGGAGGGAGGGTCAAAGCTGGAATGATCAGCCTGACCTCTAGATGTCCAGGAGGAACCCATGATCTGTTGAGGTCAGCCAGAAAGAAAAAGGGTTTTGGGTCTGTGGCTGGAATAACAGTGGCACAAATCTCTCTCCTGTGGCGTGGAGTGGAGTTGGGGGTGCAGCTCGGGTGAAGCTCCGTGAATCCACGTGGAGGGCAGAATCGTGGAGGTGATTCTGGCTCTGGGTATTCGTCCAATCAGAGTTCACCTCTCATTCCCGGAACCTGGGATTCACGTGAGACTATGAATCACAGAGCTGCCCAGTGACAGGTAAGACCGGGGCTACAGCTCACCTGGCAGTTCCTCCTGGCAGCCATGTGGTTGGGTACCAAGAGACTATGGGCTGCTCCCCCATGTGGTCCTGAACCCCTTTAAGCACACCCAGCACTTAGGCCCTTCGACTGCATCACACATCCCCTCCCTAGGTTCCCTGTGACAGTTAGGTGACCTTAGACAAAGTCTGTAGACCGTCACAAACCCATCCTCAACTGGAGAGTGAGCCTGCTGTCCACATGCAAACATACACCCAAGATATGATATCTGAAGATGCAAAACAGCTTTATTCGTATCAACCAAAATCTGAGGACAGTCTTTGTATGCCAGATGCATAAACAAATGGTAGTGGACCCACAGGGCATGATGGCACCCGGCCTACAACGGAGTGGATGGACCCTGATGCGCATGGAGAAATGAACCATGGAAACACACTAAGGGAAACTAGACACATGATATACACCATGGGACGACCCAGAAAAGACAAGAATCGCTAGAAAAAACAGGTTGGCGGTGGGCGAAGGCTGGAGGACTGACCATCAAGGAGATGGATCAACAGAGCTTCCCAAGTAATAGTTCAGTCTGATGGTGACAGTTACAAAGGTGTATGTTCCTGAAGAGACTGGGAATGGTCCACTCACAGCTGGTGAGTTCTGCTGCATTTAAAGAACATCTCAGCGATGCTGTTCTGAGAGGAAGGAAGGGCGGAAACCATTGCCTGAACTAGGAAGCTTTCTGTAACAAAACCCAAGATGGGTTTGTTTTGGAGGAAAAAAACAAATCCATAGGTTTATATAATCAGGGTAGTCCAAATGTTGGCTTCAGGCATGGCTTGATCCAGGGTAGCAAGGAACAAGTCCCCACAGCATAACCTGTGGTTTTTTTCTTCTTTATTGGTTTCATCCTCAGTTGCCTAAGTTGGCCACCAGTAATTCCAAACTGACATCTTAACAACCCCTATGAAAAGATACAGCTGAAGTCCCATGAATGGGGGTCAGGACAAGAAACAATTCTGCAGTCTTTACCCAGGCCTGGAACACATGTCTACTTCTAGAGCTGGGGGTGGGGGGAGCTGGCCCTACCTGAATCCTGATGATACAGAGTAAAGCGTGACCTTTGAAGGAACAATATACCAATAGAAACAAGGTCCATGAAAAACCGACAGCTACCCGTCCCTCTGCCTACCATTGTACCATGCCATCACCCATTCCTATGTCTAGACAGCTCTACCATGGCCAAGTCATCAGGAATGGACCCCACCTCCAGCCAGGGTTGCTTTCCTGACACAGGAGTCAAAACAGGAAAGCCAGGTGGGCACGGTGGTACTCAGCTATAATGCCGGCGCTCTGGAGATACAGGTAAAAGGACTGAGTTCAAGCCCAGGCTGGACAACCTAAGATTCTGTCTCAAATCAAAAAAGGGCTGGACATATAGCTCAGTGGTAGAACACTTGTCTAGCATGTCTAAAGCCCATAGTTCAACCTCCAGGACTAAAAAAAATAAATTCTAAAAATCGGGTGACCGGGTAGTATTGCTTCTCCAGCACTTAGGCAAACCAGAAAGTTGCTGGGTGCCTGCCCCCAAGACATGGCAGGGCATGGGGGAAGCTGTGCAGAAGCCAGGGGCCTAAGGAAGAGCCCTGCAGCTGCGGGAGTCTGAACTTGAAGCTCCAATGGGAAGGTTCCAGTGACCCAAAGCTCAGAGAACGCAGGGCAGAGACAAGGACTGCAACTCAATTCAGGGCCACCAGCCCTGGGTTCAGCCGGGGCCAGAGGCCAGAGAAGAAACTGTCAGGAAAGATCATCTTGCAGAATCAACGGCATAAGACATCATCTACCATGTGAAGACCCAAATGTCACTTCAGTGTCCGGCAGTGTAACTACCCTCAAAGGGACCAGCATTCCCGGCTAAAGTGTCCTCCTGGAAGGGAAAAGACAGGCAGCAACCGAGTCAAATCTGTACACAAAACAGTATCACGGTATACAGAGCACTCCTACAGCTATTAAATAGGCAACAAACCCAGACAGGACACAAGCCTTCCCAAGGCTGCCCTTCAGACCCCAGGACCTGCACTCTACAGCAAAGAGAGTTGGGTAGAGAGAAGGGCATGAGGCAGACAGAGGAGGGAAGAGGGCCTGTGCCAAGCTGGGCAAGAATGGCTTGCCCCCTCACTTGGGGGGGGGGTCCCTCGTCCAAAGGAAGCCTGAGGGCCTGGCCCAGAGCCCAGGGGCTCCAGGAAAGCAGTGTTCTCGATTCCCATCCGCCAATTCCAAGGCAGGCTGGCTGTCCGGCTCTGCAGACCTGCTGGAAAATAGCTAGCCACTTCCTGGAGCTAACAATGCACCATGGTCAGCTCATTGTACTGACGGCCAAAACAGCTAGTCCTCAGGCTGTGCTTCTGGAAGGGAAGGAGGGACAGTCTGCCAAAGACCACGACACCCCAGCAGCAGGGGCTTTCCCTCTGTGCAAGCCCCGAGCGTGACTATGTTCCTTCCTGGTTGTCTCTAAGCAGAGAAGCGGCAGGCAAAAGTCTTGCACTGTCATCCAGCCAGCAGAAGACTGTTCCTGCTGTCAAAGGGACCCAACTATGCCCTATCTAGAGCTTGGATTGGTGGCAGCATGACAGACCAAATAGCAACTGAGGATCCAGGCAGTGGACACTCGCCATCTAGAAGCTAGTGGAAGGGGCCTACCTTCCTGTGGGTGAAGACACCCGCTCCCACCCACCTCTGGACAGCATGGTCAAGAAGTTGCTATTCGGTATTACACTAGGGGGCTGGAGAAGTGTTCAGGTCCCTGCACCCATGCTGGGCAGCCTACAATCACCTGTAACTCTAGTTCCCAGGGACTTGACCATCTCCTCTGGCCTCTGTGGGCACCAGCATGCACACGCTACACACACATACATATAGTCAAACACATGCATATTAAAGATGTATTAGGTTTTTTATATGCTCATAACGAATCTCACCGTGATTATTACAGAAATGTCGCTGATCTTGGAGTCAGAACTGCAGATGTGAATCCCGGCTCTCCCATTTCCTTGCTGTGCCCTCAGTAAGTACCCTGATCACCTTCGTCTGCCAGAGGCAAATGGTTCAACCCTCCAAGGGGTTCTCCAGGCAGAGTTGGAGGGAACGTCTTTCATCGCCTCTGGCGGGCCTGTAGCCTGATGGTTCCTTCCGGCTGCTAGACAACACACAAAGGTAGGCAAGAAAAAGTCAATAGCAAGTCAAGGCGCCCACCCCAGGCTCCTCTTGATCCCTCCAACTCTGATCTAGTTGGCGTCAACAGACACCCAGTCACGGCCTTTCACACTCCTTAAGTCAGCCGTTCTCAACCTGGGGGTCGCAACCCCTTTGGGGGGGTCACATATCAGATACCCTGTGTATTTACATTACAACTCATAGCAGTAGCAACAAAACGATTTTAGGTTGGAGGTCACCACAACATGGAGAGCTGTATTTAAAGGGTTACAGCATAGGGAAGGTCGAGAACCCCTGCCTTATGTGAGTGATTCAAGGACATCCTCACTGAGGACCTCCCCTCAAGCTCCCTTCAGCAAGACTGCAAGATCTCTGAGTTCCTGGCCAGAAATATCCATATCCTCCTTGGGGGATGGGGAGAGAAATCCAGGCTTCCAGGGGCACAGCCTGTGGCTCCCTGGGTGAGAGGCCTGGCTCCCATTAAAAGTCCCCCTCTGGCTCAGTGGGTAAAGGTGCTTCCCTACTAAGGCTGACAAACCCGAGTTCATTCCCGGGGACCCATACAAAGGTAGGAGAACACAGTAATACATTTTCAAAAGGTGCCAGCAAGATGGCTCAGCAAGTAAAGGCCCTTGCCAACAAACCTGAAGGCCTAAGTTTATCCCTGGTAGTCCTTTGGCCCCCATGTGTGCCCCTTGGCATGTGCCCCTCCCCACGTGCCCCTCTCCCACAAATGAAAGTCCCCATTCTGTTAATGCGGAGAGGCCAGAAGGAAAGTGTGCAGGCACGGCTCAAGACAGACAATTCAGGTACGGGCATTTATGAGCCTCGTTCCTCCCTCTGATGCTCGACAGCATTCGAGAGCAATTCTCATATTTTCAAATACTCTACGGTATTTGAAAGCACTTGGGAGGGAGAGGCAGGTGGGATCTCTGTGAGTTGGAGGCCAGCCTGGTCTACATAGTGAGACCCAGTCTTGTATGTTTGTGTTTGTGTGGAGGTCAGAGGTCCACCTCAAGATGCCTTCCTCAATAATCGCTCTATACCTTACTCTTAGACGGGGTTTCTCACTGAACCTGCATTTGGCTGAACTGGGTGGGTGGCCAGTCCCACAGAGCCATCCCTGCCTTGCCACCTGAGATCACAGGTGAGTGATGTCCAGAATGGAACTTGTGACAAGCACTTTACTGACTGAGCCAACTCCCCAGCCCTGTACTGTGCAAACGCTTTGGTAAAGAATGAGGACCATGGGAAGGAACAAGGTTTGGGGCAGGGACCAGCACGAGTAAAGAGGCTCTAGGGGAGGTGGAGACTGAAGTTAGTAGGAGCCAGCAAAGCTGTTAGAGCTGACGGAACAGCTGTCGCCCTTGTCCGTCCCGAGTGTCAGAGTCTCAGTCCACCAAAGCCTCACTCACCTTCCCGCAGCAAGAGTAAATCCTGTCTAACCTTTACCCGGTGAGACACCAGCAGTCTCTTGCAGAGCTGGGGGCACAAAGCCCACAGACCCAGGGCAGGCGGCACAGTCGTGGTGGGCAGCATAAGCCAAGAACCGATACCATCTTGACGATGACGAATGCTTCCAAGCTGGCTCCTGGGGACCTGAAGACATTCTGAAGATGACTGTCTGCTGCTGATGTGAGGTCCTTAAGATCTGGGGTGGCTTGTTGTGGCAGGCCCCGCGATGCTTACTCCTCAGTCACCTGTCCATCCGAGGACAAGCCACCAGCCCAGCCTCAGCAGGCACACAAGACTGTTGCTTTGAGTCTTGGTGACATCGCTGTGGCATGCTAGTGGTAGGGAAGAGGAGCATGTCACAAAACGGCTCCTGTTGGAAAGGCCCAGAGTCGTAGCTTCAGCATCTACAATCTTAGTACTTGGGAGGTGGAGGCAGAAGGATCAGAGTTCAAGGCCAATCTTGGCTACACTGTTTCAAAAAAAAAAAAAAAAAAAAAGAATGAATGGGTTAAAGGCACGCATGCTACTTTGAAGCCCCCCATCCCATACCCATAGGCCCCCAAGTCAAAATATATGTAGGGTTGGGTTGGAAAAGGTGGAAGCACCAGCTGAACACGGAGGTAGGTGGCTGCCGCAGTAACAGGAATAGAGAATATCCACGATCAACACAGCCACCGGCTCTTAGACTCTCTTCACTCAAGGCCTAAAAAGAATGCAAGTTCCTGCCCAGGTACCTGCCCCCACTCTCAGGAAACAGGGGGGGGGATCCTGTAAGACAACCATGCCTTTCCCCAACAACCTTTACCTTGTCTGAAACAGGGAGAACCCAGGAATGGTCCCCAGCCCTCCCACCCCCGTGCCACCCCCCAAAAAGTGAACATGTATGTAAATTAATGTGTCAGCCACATTAACTGTTTCAACAACCAGCATGTGTCCATTCCTCCTCATTTGGGGGATACATTCCAAGCTAACAGGAAGTTCCTTCCGTCCTAGGCCAGGTGGGCGAGGGCTGGGCTGGTGACCCCCACAGCTGTCTGATGCACACTGCAAGAACAATAAGGATTTTTAGGGGCATTATGACTGAGTCAGAAAACACAGCTGCCCCTGAAAGTCCCTCATTTTTCTTGCTGTCCTTGAACACACGCCAAGTAAGGTGGTCGGTCATCCAGCTGGCCCAGGTGAGGAGCGGAAGAGACATCGGTCCCTTACCCAACCCTAGCCCACTGTCCCCCAGTCAATCACTCCAGAACCCAATTGATGCAGTCTGCCACAGGGATCCAAGGATTTGAACTAAGGAAGGTGACTCTCACGGGGCGGGGGTTGGGGGGGTGGGAGGGACATGTCATGGATCCGATCTTCTGCAACTGGTCTCAGGTCTGATAGGACCCGGGGAGAGGGGCCTCTAGCCTCTTCAGGACAGGACTCTTCTGAGGCCAGCCCTGAGGCCAGCCCTGATTCAGGTGAGAAGAAAACCAGCCCAGGAAGTCTGGAGCCAGTGCTGTGGGACAGGAACAGCAGCTGGGCTCCACCCTGCTCCTCTAATGGCCTTCTGACCTGGGGTACCCTGGAAAGAGGGTAAAGGAACTATCACCACCATGACGCTTCCATTACAAAGCAACCCAAAGACGACAAGCCAGGCAAGGAGGTGCAGGTGCAGCAAGAGTTCCAGGTTAGGCTTGACTACACAGTGAGCCGGACAGAACCTGGGCTACATGAGACCCTGTGTTTAAAGTAGAACCCACTAGCTGGGAGATGGCGGCACATGCCTTTAATCCCAACACTCTGTGAGCTCAAGGCCAGCCTGGTCTACAGAGTGAGTTCCAGGACAGGCTCCAAAGCTACACGGAGAAACCCTGTCTTGAAAAACCAAAATAAATAAAAATGGAACCCCCAAACCAGCAGCTGGATAATGACTCAGCGGTGAGCAGTGCTTGCTGTACAATCATGAGGACTGGAGTTCAGAGCCCAGCACCCACGTAACAAGTCAGATGTCCCACAGACACCTGTAACACCAGTCCCGAGGGATCCTTCTTGCCACCAGGCATGCACACGATCTGGAAAGAGCAAGATGACGTCTCTGTGACTGAACTCAGGACTGCCAGTGAAGGCGTACCACAAGACACAGCTGTCCATGACTCTGAGGGGATGGGGGGGGGGGGCGTGCCGGCTGGCCCTCTGGCTTCTCGGTTGCACCCTGTCCTACCTTTTACAGTCCAGAGCTTCAGGTGGGCCCATGCATGAAGGTGAATCTACCCTACGCCTTTCTACCAAAACAGTAGGCAAAGACAGACCCCTCTGGAATGTTCTACTTGTTTTTAGGCTTAAACCATCAAACTGACTCAGCAGGGGAACTGTATGCTTTGAAAGGGTGGCAGAAAGTGGCAAAAGGAAAAAGCCAGTAACTATTTTTCCTTCCCTCATAGGAAAACAACACACCTTCCAGGGCCAGTGAGATGGGTAAACACATGGGGAACACAAGCCTGGTGACCCAAACTCAAGACCTAGAACCCACGGTGGAAGGAGAGAATACTGGACTGGAAACTGTCTTCTGCCTTCCACAAGTGCGTGTGTGTGTGCACGTGCACACAAGCACATGTACACTCTCTCTTCCACCATACATATCATAGAATAAAATTTTAAAATCTTCCAGAATCAGGGTCTTGTTTAGGATACTCTTTAATGAGATGGTTTCTCCTGTTTCAGGCCCAGGTGAGCCACCTGGCAACAGAGGGTTAATTCCCAGCACCAGGGTGTAAACCTGGAAGGCCCAATCAGATCTCACTCCACAGAGCCTGGTCTTTTCCTGGTGCCGTCATTCTACCCTGGTTCCTAGCAAGGTTAGAATCTGGCCAACTGGCCACTGGGAGTCTCCCTCATCCAGCTAAGTTCTGTGGGTCCATGAGCTCTGTCTAGTATACAAGACACTCTCCTCTCAGAACACTATGGTCCACGATGGTGATACATGTGTCCATAAGGAAGACAGAGCCCCGAGGCCACAACGTCCTCAATGTGTGACTGCAACTATGTTATGCCTGGCTGTCTTTTGTATGTCAATAATAAACTTTACTTTGGTTCTTTCTAACCTCACATTGCCTTACCTCACATTGTCTTATAAAGTAGACAAAGAGATAGCAGACTCAACCAGTACACTCCACTCTGCCAAGGGCTGGGTGGAACTGTGAGGACTCTTGCTCTCTAAGAGGACTAGGGATAGGGGTCAGGTGTGCCCTCTTATGCCCTAGCATTGACAATGTACCTTCCTTCCTCCCCATGCTCCAGGTCCCTTCCCTGCTCAGAGAGAAGCAAGCCCAGCTCCTGTCTCGCCTAACTGTACCTAACACCCACCCAGCGCTTCCTGCTCCCACCAGGATCACAGCATACACTCCATTAGTAAACCAAAAACACAAATGGTTCCCAGGCACTAGGAACCAAGCCATCTACATGTCTGGACACGGCCATGCCGTGCTTTGTCTGCTAAGATGCCCCCCACCCCTGCCATAAAAAAAGACACTGTGTCAAGGGCTCAGAATGGCGCACTCACCGAAATAGTTCAGTCAAGACTAGCCATCACCACCATCCTCCCTGCTCTGTGCCTCACCTTTTCTGGGTAATCTTTCTTGACCTCAGCCCATTCCTAGGCTAGAATCTTCTGCTCCAGTGCCCTGCTACTCATCCCACTGGTCCACCTCATCTGAAAAACGGTCCCCAGAAGCACCTTCATCACTATCTCATGAGGATGCTGGAACCCCCATTGGCAACAGTCTCCCCCGCAATTCTTGGCACTCAAAACTGAGGCAGAGTCTGACCCCTGGCAGTGGTCAGGGGAACACCTCCCTGCTATTGTAGGTGATAACTCTAGGCCTGGCCTTGCCACTACCAAACCCTGGCCACCCAGCCCAGAGGCACTTCCCAGAGTCCTCACTCCTGAGTTGGCCCATGCCTTTCTTCTGAGGCTGATGACCCACCAAGGCTTACCAGGGAGCTGGAAAGAGGAGTTAGTTCTCATCAAACAGAATCCCTAAAATATCCAGTCACCCACAAAACCATGATAGAAGGGAAAGAAAAGCCAACTCAATATCAGCCCTTGTTTGAAATGCAGTGTAGAAGGAAAGCTATGCAGCAGCCCCACCCTGGCTGGAAAGTGGTCCAGGGAGTGATGGGAACCTGTCCTACAGAGAGAAGCCACTGGGGCAAGGGCGGCCCTACAGAGGCCAGCTTTGCAGCTTTGCAGGTCAGGGGCTAGTTGCCTGCAGGGTTTGGTCCCCCATCCAACTACCCTAATGAGTCAGTCCCAGGCCAGCAGGCTGTGAAGCAGGACGGCAGGCCACAGGCCCTGCTGGATCTCATCCTGGGCTGCAGTGAAAAGCTTTTTTGGCCTTTCTGGCCTCTGATGAACAAGCCAGGAGATCTAAAAGCCATCTATCAGAGCCGCTGGCTTTACAATAACCAATCTCTCTGCCAGAAATTCTTTTGGTAAGAACGCTCACTTTCAGAGCCTTGGCTCCTCCTCGGCTCCCCCAGCTGCAGTGCTGCCTGGCCTGTGTGGATCGATGGCTGGAACACCAGAGGGCACAGCTCAGCGCCCAGAGGGTGCAGACCCAGGTGCCCCTCAGCACAGCTGTAACTGGGCCTAGACGTACTTTCTATATAAATACACATATCTGCTCCCAAGCTGAAGGCAGGTCACTCATGTTTCCAGACCAGCGAGTGCATTACGGACAGATGCTGTTTCTAGAAAGTGCTATTAGGACATAGGTGTGCCCGTTCACTGATGCACTCTCTACGGTGTTAGGTGACAGCACAGAACAGACTAGATCCGTTCCTCAACTCTCATGGGATCACGTCAATCACCCATCAGAAGCTGGGCTACCAGAAGATGAAATGTGTGCGCTATCCCTAACCGACTGGACGTCCTTGCTTAGCAACTACACTCTGCAGAGGACGGGCTCTTTCCTCTTTGAAATTATGGGGCTGGCTGGAACCTGCAACACACAGCCACCACCCACCATTGTGACAGAGAATCACACTGCACGTTGTTAGCCCAGGAAAAGGTCAAAATTCTAAGGGTAGGGCTGGAGAGATGGCTCAGCAGTTAAGAGCACTTGCTGCTCTTAGAGAACCCAGGTTTAGTTCCTAGCACCCACACGGCAGCTCACAACCTGGAACTTCAGCTCCAGAGGCTTTGATGTGCTCCATGGGTGCAAAATACATACGTGGCACATTTACAGGCAGGAATATGTGTGTGTGTGTGTGTGTGTGTGTGTGTGTGTGTAAACCTTTTTTTAAAAAAGAAACTTCTAGGGGCAGATTTTTACTACATGCTTATGGTTGGGCAGAATGAGGCAGCTTAGTGGTCATATATACCTACTTACATTACCACATATAATTTCCTGAGTTGGAAGAGACAGACAGATGGACACATAATAAATACGCTATCCCCCACATGTCTTGTAAGGTTCAGAAATCATAAGCTGAACTACTGTTAAGGCAGAGACTTTTTTAGTTATAAGACATGGATAACCCTCATGGCATCAAATATTTGTAATTTGAACTTTCACAAAATAATAAAAGCTTCTGCTTCCCTGAGCCACAGTGGCTCACACATACCAAGCCCTGGGCTAAATACAGAAGACACGTAAGCAAAGTCTGCTGAGTCTGCTCTCAGGGCCTGTGACGAAGCAGCTGGAAGAGGCACGCAGCAGAGCCCAGCCACCGACACTGGGAGAAGTGTGGTTATTGGGGCAGCCGGCCTGTGGGCTGGCTGGATCCTGTGACAGCCAGAAAGGAAGCCTAGAAAGCCAGACTCTCTGCCCCAGCTCTGGACACATCGCTGCCGTCGCCTTCGTTAAGTGGGCACTACGGTAAGAGCCACCATCTCTTACCCCAGCCTCGCAGGCCAGATGTGCTGTGAACCTGCCAGGTTTTCAGAAGGAACGTGGCGCCTAGGCTACACATTACGCAATACCTCAGTGGGACAGCAGCTGTAATCAAATGTGCTAGCACCTCTGCAGAGACCTATGAATATTCATACACCCATGATAAATACAGATTATTAGTCTGAGGTCAGTTTGGGTCGAGTTTTCCCAAAGGTTTAGTTACAAAAGCTGCAACTTGGGGTTTTCAAAGTTCTGTGGGGTTCAGAATTTGGGAGACGGTGTGGGCCTGCAGCAGCAACAGTTAGGAAGTGCAGACACCGTGTCTTGACTTCACGTCCCTGGCCTTGGCTGAGCAGTGCTCTTGACCCTGGCCCAACGACCTTTACTGCAAGTAGACACAAGAAAGCAAACACAGGACACTCAGTACCAACACACTGAACGACTACATACCACCAGACGCCTTTTCTGTCCAAAGACCAGCTAACACTGCTGAGAACAGGAGAAAAATCGCACTATCACGAGTAGGGAGCAATTGTGAATGAACAGTTTCCCTTACTCTGTGGGGACAAGGACAATCAACTGTCCTTTGGTCACTGCTACTGTCGGAGGGCAGGCATGGCGGTGTGGGTTTATCGGGAGCAGTGGAGTGGGTAGGAGCTCAGACTTTAAAGACCCCATTTTTGTTTTCCCTTGTGTACGTCCTCAGAGCCTCCCTCTGGCCAAAGTTCCATTTGGAAATCTAAAATGATTTATCTCATCACAACTTCCCGGAAGCTAATTAGAAAAAAAATTGCTAATTGGATAATCTGGTTTCAGACGTTCTAATTATAATTCCTTGGTGGGAGGGGTACAAACATAAAAAAAAATATAAAATGTAACAGGACTTCTTCCAAAAGTAAAAGCATCCAGAAAGCCTATGGTAAAACTTCCAAAAATCATCTTAAAGTAGATTAAGAATTCTTTTTTTTAAACTTAGTGTAGTGTGCACACACACACACCTATAGGACAAAAAATAAATTGCAGGAGTTGGTTCTCTCCTTCACCATGTGGTCCTGGAGACTGAACTCAGGTCCTAGGGCTTAGCAGCAAATATCTTTATCTGCTGTCCATTTTGACAGCCCAAATTAAGAATATTTCTTATAACAGATCTTATTACACACAGACAAGCCATCCCTAGGAAATGCAGAGCTCTCTCCACCATAGGATGTCTGAAGAGACTGTGGGGGAACGGCTTCACCCGACATTCTGGGATTAAATGAATCTTCTCTGTCTAATGCAACCCAGTTTCAGCATTCTGAAATGTCATGCCCTCTTTCTTAAGACGACTCCTACGAATGACCACCAGCAATTTCCTCATCGCCTGAGATTTCTAAACCCCAAATTGGGAAAGAAGCTCTTGATTCCATTGGTGATTTCCCCCTCCCCCTGGCACTGGCCAGATCTGTGGGAGTAATTTTACTCCTTGATTGGGAAACACGAGAACAGCTCTGGGGACAAGATGACAAAGGAGATGGCGCGCGTGTGTGTGTGTGTGTGTGTGTGTGTGTGTGTGTGTGTGTGTGTGTGAAGGGGTGAGGGGTGGAGTAGGGGGGTCGAGTAGGGGTTCGGCACACAGGAGATCATACCCTTCAAACACCATGCACCTGGGATAGATGTCCTGTTAGTATCAGCGGGGGCCTGGCACACCTGCTGATAAACCCAGCACTGCTGGGGAACTTCGGGCTATATTTAGTCAAGGCTAGCTGCCCCAGCCACCTGCTGCGGTGGTGCCTGCAGCTGAGTGGTCGGGTGGAGATTCATTAGGGCATTACAGAAAGGACGAGGGCACCTTCTCCGGCCCTCTGTCACACACGTGTTGCCCATAGGGCACATACGGACCGTGTGGGGGCAACATGAGGATCATATGCCACGCGGGACAACCCAGAGCCACAGAGTGGTGGTAGTGCCCAGGGCCAGACGCATCAGTTTCACTTTCTGGGTTTCCTTGGCCACCTCTCACCCTGAAGGGAGAAAACATCTTTTGAATGACAAGAGAGAAAATCCTCAAAGAAATTCAACAATGTTCCCTGTCACTTTTTTCTTTCTTTCTGGAGACACTCACAGACGTGAGTGGAAAAAGTCCACATACGTAACTTGGGTCCCCTGGGCCGGCTGCCTCTAATATGATTACACATCAAATGCAATAAATGGAGCAAAGTGGTATTATTTTTCTGGGAAAAACCAACATCATAAAAGAGCCTTTATTGAATCAGAGGCCCATGAACTGTTCTCTTGCCTAATTATGGCTCCAAGTGAATGAGGCTGGGTTTCCAGGCAGGGCTCCTCACAAGTCTACGGCCCAGAGAGCAAGGGGGTATTTGTCACAACTTGTCTAATTACAACAAAATCCACCAAGAGGACAGACAGGGAGAATGCCAGGGGAGGCTGGCAGCAGCCCCCTCCCCCACTCAGAACCTGGCAAGAGGAGGCCGAATTTCTAGCTCCTTCTATTTTCAGAGGCTGACCCCTGCCCCACTCCCACCCTCCCATCCAAGTTAGGATTCCAGACCCTTGTCCTAGCACCCGGCTCTGCCCCCTCTAAGCCTGTCTCTATGGAAAAGACACACTGTGGAGAGAGGATGGTTTGCCAGATGTTTCGACACTCAGAATCTGGCCAAGGTTAGTGTGTCAGCGTGTGCGCACGTCCTCAGACCTGGCCAAAGATGAGCACTAGCTGCCACCAGATTCAGGAAGAGAGTGTAAGAGTGAGTGAGTGGGTATGCATGAGCTCTGAGGAGGGAGGGCTTCCCTTCCATGCCAATCACGTAGGAGCTAGAGGTGACGGCTTCTCCCAGATATGAAGAGGTCTGGCCAGGTGCTCTGAACTCTGCTTATACTTTAAGTCCATAGTTCCGCGTATCTGTTGCGTATCTCAAACTTCCAAGAGTGGTAGTGAGCTCTAGGGCAGCTAAGTTTACACAGTGAGACCCTGTTTCAAACAAAAACAAAACCTTCCAAAAAGCAAAGACACATTTTCTTCCCATAAATCTGTTTCTGCCTCTATGTACTGAAGCCCGCGACAGCAAGGTCAGTAGTAACGGGTCAGCCATCACCCTGTCCCCTCCAGCAGGCTCCGATAGTGATCACAGGACTCCTCTGGAAAAATGGGCCTGTCTTCACTCCTACCCCGTTTCACACAAGCCTCCTGGCAAGGGCTTTTCTTCTAGAGCTTTCTCTACAGAAATCAAGTCAGCAAGCAGGCTTGCCAGTCTCAGGCTGTCCTATCTTGACCTCCCCGGAGTTTGTCCACTGGCCCCACAAGCCCGAGGTGGAACTCCGATAACAGTTGGGGAAAGTATGTGTCCTAGCCTCCACCTTGGGCCTGGCATTTCCCACGGGCATTTCTGTTCATTTTTCATAGTGCCCCAAAATAAGCTTGGATGGGGTCAGGAAATTGTCTTAGGAAGCATTACCAGCCCAATCCAGCCGTGTCTACAGTGACCAAGCTTCCAAAGCTAAAGTCATCAGCACTGTCTCTCCCGTCCCGTCTTCAGAAGAAGGGAACATTCTCCGACAGCCTTCTGGAAAGCGAGATGCTACCAGGACATGGGCACCATGCCCTTTCTTTGTTTTTAGAGGGACAGGAGGGAAAAGATGGAGCGTTGTTTTTTAAAATGTATTATTATTATTGGTGTGTGTGTGCCTGTGTGTGCATGCGTGTGTGTAAGATGCAGATGTGTCCATGAAACAGCACACATGTGGAGATCTGAGGACACCATTCAGGAGTCCGTTCTCTCCTTCTACCGTGAGTTCAGGGAAACAAAACTCAGATGTCAGGTGCGCTCGGCAGTGCTTTTGCCCACTGAGCCATCTTCCAGCCCTAGAGGGTTATTTCTTATGCATGTGCTTGCAAGCCTGGGATTGACTTTAGCCTCTAAGAAAGAGAAGCCAGTGCTTGCCCTTGAACCCCACTCCCCAGGGCAGAGATCCAGAGAGAGGAAGTGGGTTAGCCTGCACCACCAAGTCTCCCTTAGAGGGATCCACGCTTCATAAGCTGCACACTCCACATTCCTCCCACACCCCTCCGGCTATCATATCCACCTCCCCACCCACCCCCAGCATCTGCACCTCCCAGCCAGGCCACTCTGGAAGGCCGAGTTCACAAGGGAGCACAGTGTATTCAGTCGCTTCCCACTGGGCAGGGCAGGCACTTTCAGGCCCCAGGGCAGCAGTGCTGAAATCACAGGACAGCTGGTTCCACCGGACACCTTTGTCTCCTCAGTCCTCCTGGGCAGCCAACCCAGGGGGCCGGCTGCAGAGTGATTTCCAAATTCTCCAGTTGCCCAGAGCGTGCCAAAAGGAGGGAGGGCACACCCACAGTGGGTGAGAAGTCATCTGCCTGCCTGTTCGGTGAAGGGCCAGCTAGAGACTGAAGCACCGAAGAGAATGGTTAATGTCTTAGAAATTCTAAATTCTAAATAAAAGCTTTACTGTGCCACAGGGAGGAAGTTCTGATTTCCCCCCTCTGATGATTATCTCAGTTTATATGTGTGTGCGTGTGTGTGAGCGTGTGTGTGCGCGTGTGTGCGTGTATCAAACTATTTTACTCCCCTATAGCGTATGCTGAACTTGCCATTGAGCCAGTGAGCAAGCCAATCCAGAGTCTGGTACCAGAGAAACTGAGATGTCTTCCCTGGGACTTTTCATAAATTGTGCTGGGGTCAGAGATAGAGGAGTCTTCAAGCCTCCCAGAACAGTGCAAAGTGACCAGATCTATAAGCCGGGGTTCCTTTGAGGTCTAGGCTGGCTAATTCAGACCTCCCACCTCCTCGCTATAGGCTCCAGTTTGCTGCTGGCTCCCGACCTGGGAGCTACACCCAGAAGGCCAGGGAATTGGCTGCTGCGCCACAAAGGCCAGCTGTGAGACCCTGGGAGAGGCCCTTCCTGCCACACTTACCCTCATCTGCTCTCAGGGCTGGCAGGAAAGCCAGTGAGCAATGAGGGGAGAGGCCAGCTTTCTCACAGATGGTCCAGTCCTCAGCACATAGAGGGTAGCCACTAAAAAGCAACAGGGGAGCTGGGAAGAGTCAAGTCCCCGCTGCCAAGCCTGGTGATCTGATTTTGATCCCTGGGATCCATGTGTTAGAAGATTTTATGTGTGTGTGTGTGTGTGTGTGTGTGTACATATATACACACAAATAAATAAAATATGCCAAATTTTTCTAAAAAGCAAAGGACCAATTCTGAGGCAGATTTTGCTTAAGAAGCCACTGTTCCTGGTGTACTTCCCTAAGTACACCAAGTAACTTCCCCAGGGCCACGTGCGCCAGCAAGCAACAGCCACTACAAGAACCTGCCAGACTCAAGAGCCGAAGGTCCCAGCCACGCTGCACCCTTCTCAACTAAGAGATATAAACAGGGAGATTCAAAATACAAGTGGGGCATATGGCCACACCACCATGAACATGCCTGACCTCACAACATGTGTGTGTGTGTGTGTGTGTGTACACGTACACGAATTAATCATGGGAGAGCAGCCAGGTTGCGCCAGCCACTGTACACATTTTAAAATATAAGCCTCACCACACCCTCCCAAAGTAAGACTCATAACCCTTGATTCACAAGGAGAAACTGGAGTACAGTCAAGCCATCTGGCCAAAGCCACCCTGCCTACAGAGGGATCAGAACTGGAGACCCAACACACCCAAGGTCTACCATGTGTCTTGGTGCCTTTGGACACTGAAATGATCCCTCCCTCCTGCTTCAACTTTCTTTCAGGACTTATCACAGATTAGGAGCTTTTGTTTGAAAGTCCTGAAACTAGCCAAATATTTCCCAGCCTTCCAGGGGAAAGCAGAGCAGCCTGGGAGGAGAATCAAGCCCAGGAAGTAGTAAGGGCCAAGCAGTTGCTAGATAAAGGGGATACAGGAGCGAGGGTAGGATGTCACTCTCTTGGAGCATTCAGACAGCTTAATTTTGGACAAAGAGGCAGTGAAGAAAGCCCAGGAAGAACTCCCTAGGCCAGCAGAGAAGGCAACAATGAAACACACCGAGTATTTCAAAATACTGAACCTTCCAGGGCTGGAGATAAGGCAGAGCAGCTATGAGCACTGGCTGCTCCTTCTGAGCACCCACAAAGCCATTCACAACCCTCTGTAACTCCAGTCACTCCCTCTGGCCTCCTCGGGCACCAGGCATGCATGTGAGGCACAGACAGACATGCAGACAAAACACCCATACACACAAAATAACACAAAATGAAAGCTTTCAAAGTTACCAGGAGACTTGATGGTAGAGACCAGGGGACTAGCTTCTCCCAATATATCTTTTATCATTCCTATCCTGCTAGGCAAAAACTGATCTTTAATCTTTAATAAGTTGGGATTTTATTAAAAAAAAAAAACCCTAGAAGGGCGAGGTTAATTATTCACAGGGTTGCAATTTACTTAAGAGTTGAGGGAATGAAGTTTCCTCCCAGCAAGCAGTACCTGAGTCCAGCATGGGTCTCCCTGGGGGTCTGGCTAAAATCCTCCTCCCATCAGCTTTCCACCTTGCATTTAGCCGCTTCCTGAAGAAGGTTCTAGCACAAACAAGCCTGACCATCCAGTCACTTCCTCTTGAGAATCCTTGAGGTACCCATCCTCCAAGGATGGAAACAGGTGTGGTGTTGGGGCCAAGAGACACAGCAGAATCGCAAAGTCTTCAACTCAATCACTTGCTTTTGCTAAATGCATCTGTTTAAATCAAAAGCAGAAATCGGCTGCTGGAGGACAGGCTAGCCTAGCCTGGTACTTAGTTCAGTCAATCTTTTTTTTTTTTTTTTTTTTGTAAAGTAACTACCCCCACCCCTGGAAAAATCAATCATTCACTTCCCCCAAAGAAATGAAGGACCAAACAATTACCTAAAAAATCCCTAACACCTGGCCAGCCACAGCCTGATGAGGACCTGGAGGCCACCAATGCTGGCGGGCTACTGACTTCCAATTGACTTATGCCCTACATTCCAAAGTCTGTCCCCTCCAAGGTGGGTGCAAAGCAGCCAGCTGGGCAAGCTTTTCTGCATCCCACGGCTCCAGCTCACTTCCGTGGATGGTTTAGGACCACAAAATACTATGGAGATTTCCATTTCACTTACTTTTCGATGCCTATGCTGGGGGGGGGGGGCTGGGAGAGGCAACAGTGCAGCAGGATAACTTTTTTCCCCCCTGAATCAGCACCCCCAAAGAGGGCATTTTTTCTTAATTAGGAACAAGGCCTCCAGTTGAAATGCCCGTCAATTCCACTCCCTAAACAATTTTGTCTCAAACGGAATTTGCCAAGATGCTGGGAAATCTACACCACGGTCAAAGAAACTCTTTTCATCCATATTTCGAGTACTAGCACATTCCACCAACTAGAGCCCGGAGGGGACAAAGCTTACATGGACAAAACTCAGGCTATGATCGCCGCTGGAGTTCACCGGGCCAATCCAGACTTCTCTCCACACCTGACTCCCTCTCCTGTTTCTACTACTACGTGCCACCAAGGGACAGGGACAACAGCTCGGGTAGGATTTGTACCGTGGCAACTTTGCATGTGGCCCACAAGGGTGAGGAGCCTGTGTGTGTGTGTGTGGGGGGGGGGGATAATACCTCTTATACGGTCCTTGTACAACTGCCCAAGAGGTAGGCCAACCTGATTTCTTCCTTCTCCAGCCTCCAAGCTTCTAGAAACCTCTCTAATTTTTCAGTGCCAGAAGAAGGGGGCCAGAGATGCCCCATTTGATCAACTTGCCCTTCATGCACAGAGTTCAAGTCTCCTAAGTGCATGCTCCTAAATGTTTTTTCAAAGCTGGCCAGACAGCCACACAATTACATAAAGACAAAAGGGGCCAAGTTCAGGAACCCGCGATTTCAGGGCTTTTCGTGTGTGTGTGTGTGTGTGTGTGTGTGTGTGTGTGTGTGTGTGTGTGTTGGGGAGATAAGCAAAGTTTTACAAGCAAAGAGCTTAAGGGAGAAGGGGCTTTTTTTTTCCAGCATAAAACTTGATGGTGGTCGGTATTCGGTTACGTGAAAGTGGGTGAAAGACTTAAAGAGATGTGACCACAAAGCCAGCATTTAAGACAAAGATTGGGGAGGCAGAGAGGTTCAGCATCCAGGCTGTTTTCCCAGGAGCAAGTCTAGAAATCAGGCTCTATCTTCCCCACCCCCAAGCTCAAGGTTGGCACCATACAGCAAGGCAGGCTTATCCAAGAAGAAAAAAAGCCCTTTCTCCCCCGACCCCAAGTCACCCCAGCAAGGTCCCACTCTGCCAGGAGGATGCTGTCTCACACTTTCAAGTGCGTCGCTCTTTCTCTGCCGAAACACAGATTCCCCCAAACCGCACAGACAACCCGCGGTACGCGCCTTCACAGTCCTTCTACTCAGGTGGACTTGCGAGTTAGAGGCCCAGCCGGAGCGCACGAGGGCCAAGAAGGGACCGGCCTCAACCGGCGAGGAACATGGAGAAAATGCCGGTCCTGGGGACCGAGGACTGGGACTTTGTAGGCCAGTTGAACTGACACCCTCATCTTGCCCGCAAAGACCCAGCTCTCAGCTCCCGTCCGCCTTGGAGTTCGGGGTGCCGTGCGCCACGATGGGCTGTCCAGGGCTGAGTCCCGCCGCTAGTTCTTGGCACCGCGGAGGCTCGAGGACCGTTCCGCAAAGAAGCCATCCGCCCCGCCCGGCCTCGGCCGATGGGCTCCGAAACCAGCCCTCGAAGGGTTACACGACGCGCAGTGCACGCAGCCCGAAAAACAGTGCTGGGGACGCGGGAGATGTGCGCCCCCGGCCCCGTATCCACCCGAGTGCGACGGCTGCACGCCAAGAAACTTCCCAGCGCCCGCACGCCGTGCCCGCGAAGCCCCAGGGGCGCGCCGCCCGGTTACCTGCGCCCAACCCGGCGAGGCGGGACCGAACTGCGGCGCCTCGGGACCCAAGCCGCTTCTTCCCACACGGTGGCCGCAGCCCGGCCCGCGCGCCCCGCTGTTACCGTAGCTCGGCGCGCGCCTGGCCGAGGATCCGCCGGCCTCTCCCGACCTGCTCCCGGACCTGGGGGACCGCCGCGGGCCCCCCGCCGCGCAAGGGAGGACGTGTGCACTGCAGCAGGGCCCCTCTAAAGTTGCGGGGTTTCTCTCGCTTGCTCTCTCGACACGACCTGGCACCACGTGCTGGTGACACATCAGGAAGGCTGCACGCTCCGTGGCTCCCGGCGGACCGACACGACCAGCGTCTGCCCAGCACAGCCTCCTCGAGCCCAGCGGACCGCGCTCCGCCCCAGCCCGCCTTCCGCCCGCCCCTCGCCGGCACCGCCCCCGGCCGAGACCGCCTGCTTCGGCTCGCAGCCCAGGCGGGAAGACCCTGCGGGAAATGGGGTGGGGAAGTACCCCTCCAGAGTCGCCCCGGACTGAGGATCTGGACACTAGACGCCCGACTCGACAGTCTCGAGTGCCTTCCACCCAGTCACACAGCTCTTCCTTTCCCCCGAGCCCCAGTAATTTTCTCTTTTCCTCCTCTGGCGGGTCCGATCCGCTGCCTGCGCTTCCACCCGCGAAGACCGGCGCCGGGAGCCCCCTGCCGGCCGCCAGGCTCTCGGGCCGCGCCCCCGCCGCGGTGCAGCGCCCTGCCACGGGCCTCAGCCTCCTCAACCGCAACCTAGGCAGGGACAGACTTTGAGAGGCTTCGTGGCAAACCCAGGAGATGATACATTTAAAGTACCCGGCGTAGTTCCCGGGGAGAGAACCTCTTGAAAAGCTGGGTTCCTTTAAAGGTGAGACCGAGAAGCTGCGATACAGATAGATTACCTGTTTCCCTTTCTCCTCCCTCTGTCCGCACGCGAGTGTTCATAATCCGGGCCAGGTGTGGACCATCTGTAGGCTTCTGCCAAAACAAGTCGGCCGAGGATTGATTCCACGGGCCATAGAGAAGAAGCCAAATAACCACCGAGGTTGAGTTTCCTAACCATCTTCAGGTGGAGGCTTGGAATCATTTGACTTTAATATCGTGCTACTTCTGCTCTGGATATTGGCTACTCTCCTATCTTCTCTTTTCTGGCTCCACTACCCAAAGCATGCTTTAAATCTTGCGGCGGGTCTGAGCGCTTTTTCTGTATCTGGCACCGAGGTTCCCAATACCCCTATCCCTGGTTAGGACAGACAGATGCTCAGGGACAGGTGCCCAAAAACAACGGTTCTTGAAGGGCTGGACGGCAGAAAGCACCGTGTCCTAAAGGGGATGGGCTCAGGCTTCAGGCGTTTGTAATCCCCATTATTTCGGAGCCTGGATGAGAGAGGCAGAAAGAAGGATACCCTGGCATGGCTGCCGATGGAGGCACTCTGCGTTCCCTTCCCTTGTATTATTGCTCTCTGACAAACCCTTCGGGGATCGGTCAGACTCGGGAGCCTAGAGGAGCCAGTGTTCTGGCGGAATGAAAGGGCAGGGATGTAATGGGTTTGTTTACCCAAGCACTGATTCCGGCGAAGCCCTCCAGAGATTAAGATTTGCTACTTGGGCCTGAAATCCCCCTGCTACCCCGGACCACATCAAAGGACGTGGCTGTGGGAGGACGCCTAATCCCATCAATGGAATCAAAGCTGTACAAGAAAGGAGATCCTGCAAATTTGGGGTAGCCACCGGCAGGATGCAAGACCACAGCACACAAGAGAAAGGCAGTTACCCGGGCTCTGGTCTTCTCATTACATTGCAGGCACCTCCTCTCCACCGCCAGCCAGTCAATGAACGGACAAGGCAGGTCCATTACTTCTTAAGGTGGCCCTATAGGAAAGTTGAGCACAGGAACTCGACAAACATCTCACAGGCAGTGAGACTGGTCCTGTCCCCAGGGACAGAAAGGGACCCAGACAAGGTAGGGGCTCCCCCAAGATCACAGTCTGCTGGTTCCATCTTTGCAAGGACTCCAGCTGCCCCCTGCACGGGAGATAGTGTTAGGTAAATGAAACAGCAGGGAACAGTTTTTAAATCTAATTGTTTTAAGGATTGGTATCACCTGTGTCCAGAGAGAACACGGAGCTGCAAAGAACCTGTGACCAAGGGCAGCATGAGGCTCTTCCCCCGCTCCCCCCACTCCATATTTAGCAATTTACTTTGATTCTCTTCCGTTGGCCCAGATAGTTTTATGAGGGAGAAACCCTCAAAGCCAGGAATACTCTTCACAGCAGGAAAGCTCACTCGGGATTTTTTATCAACGTGTGGAAGTGTTTCAATTCCCCACTGCCAATGTAGACTTGCACATGTAATTTCCTTGCAGTGGGCCTGTTTGCTCACTGGCAAGTTGGGAAGCATTTTCCTCTGTGACTTTCCCCAGCTTGATTAGATCCAGCGGCAGGAAGGGAAGGGATCATTGGTGACCTCATCCACACAATATTGCTGCCGACCGGGGAGTGTCTGAATAATATTCTACGAGCAGAGTAGATGTTTGGGAGATTCTAGAATCCTTGGAAGGCCAAGCCTTTGGCCAGAGTTCTACAAGTCTCTTCTTTGCTCTTGCCATTTAAGACAGGGTTGGTTTTTTTTTTTGTTTTGTTTTGTTTTGTTTTAATGGTACAGGGAATGGAACTGAGGGTATCATGACAGACAAGTACACTAGTAGTGAGCTATATAGTGTCCCTTAAAAAAGTTTTTTTTTCTTTTTTTTTTTTTTTTTTTGAGATGGGGTCTTAGTAAATTGCATAGATTGGCCCTGAATATTTTTCTGTGGTCCAGGCAGCCTTGAACATTTGATCTTTCTGCTTTGGCTTGCTGAGTAATTGGGACTAAGATTGTGCCACTAGGCCTCTTAGAGGCCTGGTTTGATTCTTGCCTTTATTACCCTCACCGTGTGTGTGTGTGTGGTGTAGGTCACTGTGACCTATTACCTTTTAGGAAGGGTGTGCAACTATCCACAAAATGATCCTCTATCCATGCCACCTGGTCCAAAGTCCACATCTAATCATCTTCGGGGGATGGTCTTTACCTCTGTCTATGCCTGCTCCCTACCCTTCTGGACCTCTGGGAAATGCAACCTTTGCCAGCATGTCTGTGTCTCTTCCTTGGCTAGTGTGGCTGATTCTGGTGACTTTGGTAACTACCTGGTTTTCCCATTAAGCACAGATGTCTATCAGACATGTCCAGTGCCTGCTTGGCCCACAACTAGCAAAGACATGGATGTAAGAGTCAAGAAACAGTATCAAGAGCTTTTTTGAGAAGTTTTCCACTTCTCCTGCAGTGGGCTAAATCCCTAGGTAGTAGAGTGCTTGTCAAACATATCCAAAGCTCTGGGATTGATCCCCAACCTCACATAAAACCAGCTGATGCTGCTATATGCCTATAATTCCAGCCCTTGAGAGGTGTGGATAGGAGGGTCATGAGTTCTAGGTCATCCTCAGATTGAAGGCTAGCCTAGAACACATGAGTCTCTAATTTGAAAAACAAACCACAAAAGACTTTGGGTAACCTGAAACAAATCACTTCTCTTGTCAATTCTGAGGCTATGAAATGGCCCAGTTGGCTGGTGGATTTAGGTTAGCTTTTGTCCCCAAGGATGGGCTTGGACCTTCAGAGTATGCTACCATAAACATCTATAGAGAATAAGTATTTAGGGGGCTGGAGAGATGGCTCAGTGGTTAAGAGCACTGGCTGCTCTTCCAGAGGTCCTGAGTCCAATTCCCAGCAACCACAAAGTGGCTCACAACCATCTGTAATGAGATCTGGCTCCCTCCTCTGGTGTGCGGGCATACATGGAGACAGAATGTTGTATACATAATAAATTTAAAATTAAAAAAAGAGAATAAACATTTATATCTTTATCCAAAACTACATTTGTCCTGGAGTTTGTGGGAACTGTGGAAAGGGGAAGAAAAGTACCTCTGCCCGCTTATGCAAACCCTGGACCATCATATTTGAGTTTCAAAGACGGACGGGATGAAGATACGCATGGTGGCACACACCTGCCACTAGGAACTGAGAGATTTGGGGAAAAATCCCACTAATTGCCAGGAGCTTTAACGATACATCTACTTTAAAGTAGGCAAACAAGCCAGACCATGGTGGTGCATGGTCCACTTCTTTAATCCAGCACTCCCAAGGCAGAGGCAGGTGGATCTCTATCAGTCGAAGGCCAGGCTAGTCTACAAAAAGAGTTCCAGGACAACCAGGGCTGTTACACAAAGAAATCCCCTCTCAAGAAACCAAAAATAAGTAAAGTAAAATAAGGTAGGCCAACAGATGCAAAGGAAGCCCACTAGCACTTGGGAGGAGAAGGCACCGGCATGAGAGCTCAAACTAGAGGGAGGCCCGAGCAGAGAAAATGGCTGCTTGTGTTTATGTGGTGGTGACTTGGAGGGGATATGAGAGAGAGAGGCTTTGCCAACATCTGCTAAAAGTCTCTGAGCAGCCAGGGACCCCTTAGAGCTCATTAACAGACTCACCTGATTTGAGCAGTTTGGAGATCTGTATTTCTTTTTGTACAATACAAGATTTGAGACTATGTCTCCCTGGGGCAGGCTATTGGATTAAAACTCACAGCGGGAGGCATAAAAGATACAGTTGCAAAATTCTGCCTTCTAGTCAAATAGTATTCTCTCTCACAGGAAGAAAGAGCTGTATATTGGATAGCTTAAAATCTCCTGGAGGTTAAATTGCCCACAAACTATCGTGGCTGCATTGTGGCCGTCAAGCTGCAGAACTAACACTATGTGGTTTGTTTCTAGACCCTGGGTAGATCAGAGAAAGGACTGACTGGGTCAGGGGACTCTGGGAGGGAGGGAGAGTAGGGCCTGCAGCTCTAGTCCTGCCATCATGGAGGATTTTGACTGGATTGGTGTGGGGGGAGGACAGGGGGCATCAAATAGTTCTTACCATGGCTTACAATGGTTAGACCTGCTGC